CATCTCGCATATTTTGGATTGTTCAAAGTGGGAAACTGTTAATAATAGCGAGAAAGCTAATGTTATTTATTTCTGGAATATTATACGTAGCCGATCACAATTTCAGTTTAAATTGCCAGCTGATAGTAATGAGTATACCATGGAACTACAATTGGATGGGTTTTAGTTCCATGGTTGAACTCATGGTACTCAATGGGTAATTGGTGAATGAGAACGAATGGTAACAGGTGTTTTGTCTCATTCACAAATTACGTAAATCAGTTTCCTGGCACCAGGAACCAGAGTATCCAGCTGACCAGTGGGACTGTGTTGACCTGGAATGTTATCGATATAAGTTTATAGAAAACAAAATATATTTACACATTTACACACCAGGAACCAGAGTATCCAGCTGACCATATCGTCGTGAAAACCAACATCAACAACTATTTTTTAGAGCGGGGGAGTCGTCATCTGCGCATGCGTCAGATGGCCATAGCCTGTCTTTGTTTCACAAGCGTTTACCCATGGGCCTTTGCGTTTTTGGAGTGTGTTGTTATCGTCGCTTGAGACTCAATTCCCGCGCGTGCGCAGGTGACGAATCTCCCGCTTAAATTTAGTATTTTGTCTTTTAGTTGGTTGCTAAGGGGTTGGTCAGTTACTTCGGCCTAGGGGGGTCGGCAGATTCCATTTTACCAGCTGTAAATCTCAGTTGACCCACCCCCCTATCAAATTAAAAAAAGTGGGTGACCCCTCCCCCCACATTATACTAGTATTTCAAAACTTAAAACATGCTGACCCCCCTAAAAAAAACAAAGAAACATTAACAGTTTTGGCTCTGACATGATTACAAAATGTATTATATGTGCATTGAAAATATCATGGTTTGCCATAATTTTGACATAATTTGTTAGCGTTTGCATTTAATAGACCTTAGGAGGGGAGGGGAAGCATAAAGCCAAAAAATGACTACAGAAAAGGCTGCAGGAAAGAGGGAAATCTATGCTGCTAAAGATAGTAAATGAAAGCAAAGCTGTGGAGTACTCACTCGATAAACGCCCTTATAGGAAAAGAGGATTTGAATCTAGGCTGTTTGAACTCTTTGAAAACTAAGTTGGATTTAAAATATCTTTCATATCTTATAGACCAGGAAAGCTTTACACCCGAAGCACAGTCTGTGCTTATGAAAACAAAGGAAACTTTGATTTTTGCTTAAATTTGTGTTGGATTTTGGTATTTTACAGAGCAAAATATGCATATTTAAAAGTTAAAAACAAAAACAACTATTTATTTATTTTTTCATCATTTATTTTAATTTATATATCAGCATTTTCACAAATTTAACTTTTGTTGATTTGCTGAACAATAACTGTCACTGCTCTTTGTACTAATTGCTGTGTTGTCTTTCCGTCTCCTGTTATAATTGGATAACCAGTAAATATCTTATACAATGGTGACTTCAGACTTTAAATAAAATAATCTGATATCAGCAGCACATGGACTTGGGATGTGTTTAAAACTTAACTGTATAATTGGGGTTCTAGCCGCATTGCATAATCTGTTAGTTATTTGGCAACTTTAACCTCAAAATATTTAGCCTATAACATTTCTTGCATCAACAAATTTATTGGCAATATAGGTAATAGTTATTAAGAACGCATTTGTACGATTAACTTTTTTATCGTTTGTTCTGAAATAAAATTTGTAAAAATATATGCATGAGCGCGTGTGTGAATTCTGGAAAACATGATATCAAAAACAGGGTGACCCCCCCCCCCTATTCGCACAATCAAAAACAGGGTAACCCCCCAACTGATCCACCGACCCCCCCTAGGCCGAAGTAACTGACCAATCCCTTATAGGTCTATTAGTCAGTCGCAGGTACATTCGCCGAGCACTCATATAATAAAACGTTACGTTATTTTTATTACCCAAGAAACTTTCCGAGCGCCTGTGTGCGCAGGCATGGGAAATGTTCTTCGACTTCCGGGAAAGTGGTCTATATTGACACGCCGCTCGTGTGAATAGCTAAATGGAATGGCTACTGACACGCCCGTAAGTGATGAACAGTACCATCATATGCCCCTTTTACACGTAATCTAAGTGTCCAACAACAGACAAGTATACACGTTTGACATTTTTGAGATCAAATATATGAAAACTGAAATGATGGTCAAAAATGTATCTAAAATGTACTAAACTTTTTACACAGTTGACGATTAGGATTTTTTTAGATTAGTATTGTTGAAACCAAATTTTGAGCGGAGGAGGCTGATTTCAAAAATGTCAAAACGTGCATTTCAAATTTGTAAATGTTAAGGGGAGAGAACTACTGGAAATTGTGCCACACTGTAGCTAGAAAAACGCATTCGAGGACGATTGTTTAAGCCAATTCACCGATCTACCGAAAAAAGGCATTTCCTAATATGTTATTGCAGGTATGGTATTCAAAGAGACGAAACGA